TCGCTTCCCCCCCCACCCCCCCACAACGAGCGAGAGATGGAGATGAGAAGGGCAGGGAGCAGCATCGCACTAGAACATGGCACTGACCAGCAGGACACATCTAAACGTCCGTCCTTCCTTTTGTCACTTGGGGTCTAGAGCACAGGCCCGAGTCCGGACTCCGGCACTGGCCCCAGGACCCTGGCCCGGCTGCAACCCCTACAGGCCCCAGCCGCTCGTCTCTGCCGCAGGGAAGGGGCTGATCGTGCCTATTGGTCACTCCGGGTTCCGATTCGCTTTTAACCACCGAGCCACAGCTTCCATTAAAGCCGGCCAAGCACCCAAACACGGCACATTCACCCTCTCGCGGAGCTCACTAAGGCATGGCTTGCTTTGTTTTCAGAGATTGAACGTGACCTCGTGGCTACCCGAGAATACCGTACCTTTGGATTTTCCTAAGGCTGCAGGGACAGAAACATACAGATATTAGTGTCAAAAAAACTATGCCTTCCTTTGGACACACAGGTTGCCGGGGTCGGGGTCTGAGAGTGGGGCCTTTACGGTGCCGTGAAATGCTTTCAATTGACTTGGCCTCTCTAGTTCGAGCGACTCTTCTGATTGGGCCAAGGTTGTATCCTGCCAAGCTCACAGGTGAATAGAGAGAGAATCTGGAGGGCTGATATTGGTGTGGGTAGGAGTACGGGTCGGGGGGAGAGGGTGTCATGAGGGAGAAGAAAGAAATCGGTGGAAATTGCCATCTGCCGGCTTCCAAGTTACATGGTTTAGAAGGCTATTCATTCTGGGGCGCTTGGGTGGCTCAGTCGGTTAAGCGTCTGACTCTTGATTTTGGCTCAGGTCATGATCTCACTGTTCACAAATCGAGCCTCCATTGGGCTCTGGGCAGACGGCTCGGAGCCTGCTTGGGATTCTCTCTCTTCCTCCCTCTGCCCCTCCCCCACTCACGCTTTCTCTCTCTCCCCCCAAATAAATAAACATTAAAAGAAAAAAAGTTTTAGAAGGCTGTAAGTTCTTTCTGTCGCTCTAGGAGGTAACTGGTACCGTGGTGTGAAGTCAAGACTTTCGCCGTCTAAGCCAAGACCTGATTATTTCCAGTACTAGGGAGACGCAAACATTTGTGCGACGAGAAAACCTTCCAGCCTCCATGTCTGCCGTGTATCTGCACAGGGGGGTGTGGGTATGGGGGTGAGCTCGTGCTTACTCTGACCCACCCCGGTCAGAAGCACAGACCTATTACCGTGAATTCTGTCCACCCCGAAAGGGCTTTAACTTTAGACACAAGCACCAACATTAAACAAACAAACAAACAAAAGGTTCAAGTTCCTAGACTGGTTGTTGCAGGTGGGATTTGGGTCCTCGAAGGAAACGTGCCTCAGGATGGAGCAGGGTCAGTAAAAGCAGAGCACACACGAGGATGGGGACAGCTTCCTGACTCTCGTCCCTCCATAAGATCCCCGGAGGTCTTTTCGCGTCCCGTGTCGTGGTTACTATTTCTCATCTCCCGTGGAGGGCGCCTGGGGGATTAGGGGGCTGGATGCCTGGGTCTCTTTCCAGGACCTACTAGCTTTCAAGTCCTATTGGGTCTGAGGAACCCCCCCGTCTCCCCCCCAATAAATAAGCACCTTCTCCAGGAGCTCCAGAATCGCTCCTGGAGGCCACTCGAAACTCTAGGACAAGGTCCAGCTGCACATCCTGGTGTTTAAAGGGGACTGCAGGGGAGAAGCATTAGGCTCCAGAAATTATCAGGATGAAAAGGGCAAAAGGCTTAGTCTCAGCAGAGGAAGGGAAATGACAGGGCTTAGCTGTGGCGGTAGGTGCGGGTGACACACAGGCAGGATGGTTGCCACAGCGACCAACGGGGGGGGTGGCTAAGGATGTCTGTCTGCCCATCTCACCCCATCTTCTTTACCCAGTGCTCTTTTACTTAGAAGGATCTTTCCAGGGGCCTGTGGGTGGCTCAGTTAAATGGATGACTTCGGCTCAAGTCACGATCTCAAGGTTTGTGGGTTCGAGTCCCGTGTCGAGCTGTCAGCAACAGAGCCTGGAGCCTGCTTCGGATTCTGTCTCCCTCTCTCTCTGCCCCTCCCCTGCTCATGCTCTGTCCCTCTCTCAAAAGCAAACATAAAAAAAAAAAAAAAAAAAGATCTTTCCAATTTAGGGGAGGGCATGGGCTTCAGGATCAGGGCTCCTGGGGGATGCCTTCTATTTCCAGGGACATCTTCCAGCATCGGCAACCTCCGATACCAGGCTCCCTGGTGATCTGGTTTGCCAAGTGCAACGGGCTTTAGGGTCTGAATCCCAGCTTTTCTCATTACCGTGTGATATGGGTGAGTTACTTAACGTGTCACGTCCTCTGCTCGTTCTCTGTAAAATGGG